CACATAGCTGTATGGAAATTTCCTTTGTATCTGCTGGTATATTACTGAGATACTTGTATAAAGATTAATGTTGATTATATATCTTGTTCACCCAAAAGAGAAAATTATGCCATTGTCATTCCATCCCATGAAAAAGTGTTCATCTTCATGACACGAATGAAGATATTTAACCTAAAACTTTGACACTTCAAAATGTTCCTAAAAAAAACATAAAATAAATCCATATGAATGGGGCCACTTAATCTACTTTTGGGCCAAACGGTTCTATGAATAGTAAGGAGCAGCTCCAGTTATATTTCTGCTTGAACTTGGTTAGGCATAGTGTGATTACAAAACCATTCTTGATCCAGAATTCTTAGTCGAACATGCTGAACCATCCTGTAGAAAGCCTGTAGTGACGTCGCTGCTCAGGATTGGCTGTTTGTCTTTTGCCTAGCCACCAGTTTCTCTAGCTGGCCAAGTGTGCTATTTGAGCGACGTAAACAAGTTAATATTAAAATTAAAATAAATATTTAATCTTTCATAACATGGGCGCTATTTTCATCTAGTACCGTATCTTAACTCTCGCATTACCAAGGCAACGACATTTGTGTTGCATTCCAAAGAGCTCTGTTAACAGCCCAAGTGTGAATAATGAAACAATATCTGTATCGGCTTGGGCCGGATCAACACAGAATGGTTAAGCAATGAGGATGGGTTTGGCCCACAGTGGGAAAGTGTCTCAAGTCTTTTGAAGGGACAGAAAAAAAAACCATTGGCAACTGGTGTGGCCAACCCAGTGCCATTCTTAAACTCATCGTACTGCTACCTCCACTGTTAAGAAGCATACCCTAAATCAGATTGTTTTTGCTATGTTTCAAAATGGTTGTAATACAAGTTAACACTGCATTGAAAAACATAAAAAATACATTACCTTTACTTTTGAACTGTCGCTAACTTAAATGTATGTGTAATTGTACAGGTGCATCTCAATAAATTAGAATGTCGTGGAAAAGTTCATTTATTTCAGTAATTCAACTCAAATTGTGAAACATAAAAAATACATTACCTTTACTTTTGAACTGTCGCTAACTTAAATGTATGTGTAATTGTATGTGTGTGATGAATAGAACATTGTTTTCATTAATTTATAATGGCTGTTTGAAGCACTTAAGTTACTGGAGTAATGCTTACTTGTTTTTTTTAAGGCAATCGGTTTGCATGCTTTTAGCAAGTAAATTATATTGCTGTTCAAGTAAATACAACTAAGAAATTCCAAGTTGCAGGAAATGTTACATGAGTTAGCTCAACTTAAATAAATGAGTTTATTGTACTTAATCATTTAGTTGTTGAAAATAGTGATTCTGAGTTACCAGAACTTGCGTGTAAGTTTAGAGCACTTAATAAACCTTTGTTAGTACAAATTACTATTCTTATTTCACTTCACTTGTTTTTTTCAAGGCAATCGGTTTGCATGCTTTTTTTAAGTAAGGTTTACTAATTAGAATTTACAGTGTACTTTTAACTATTCTTATGCATTTTTCTGATTCTGTCCATGCATTACTGATTTTGAGTTCTGATGTGTATTAGAATATTTAGACCATGTTTTTGTTATCCAGTAGAGTTTATTCCCATATTTGAATGATAGAGAATCACATGCAAAGGCATGAGATAAAAGTGACACAGACTCTCATGGAGGCCACAGCTGGTTCCAACTGGAGCAGAAAATCATCTAAGCTCAGACGGTAGCCATGAACGCTGAGGAGATATGTTTGCCTGAGCTGCTGCTTGGACTCAGTGTGAGTGTTTACACAAGAGACAGTGACACTGAGTTTTTATTTGAATATGTTCAGCATTAAGCTGAAGAAAAACCATACAAAAGTCTTATTTTTAGATAAAATCAGCTACAGCATAATTTACATTGGGTTAAGTACATACTATATAGATCACAGTCCTGAGTGAAGAATTAGTTCAGGCCAAAAACTGACAGTTACAATTACACTGATCTTTTTGGTGAAGCGATATATTCATCTGCCCCTTTAAACTGGCACGCACGCACTTCGAGTCTGCTCTTCTGTGGGACCTGAGTGCGCTTGCCCCTGGATGGATTTTCTCTGGGAGTTATCTACTCCCATCCTCTGCTTCTTTACAGCGTATTCCCAGCAAAATAACAACTACAAAATTGTATCACTTGTTACGAAAAGTTATTTTTAAAGGGCAGTTGTGTTTCAACTAATTTTTACTTGGTGTCAGGTCAATTTCAAATACTTTATCTGAAAATGACGCTGGCAGTCGTCGTTTTTTTTACTCTGTTTACCAGCATAATTGCCACCACGCCTGGTAAGTGCAAACCAATCATGATCTCTTTCTGCTCTGTAAAGTACTTTCGTAATAATGTTTGTGTTACAAGCTTTTGTTGTTTTTGAGTTATAGACTTTAATGCATTTGACTAAAGCATTGAAAATGTTGGTCATTCTGTTATCTGAAATAAATTTGTAATCGTTAATTGTTAGTAGTCAGAGTGATTTATGTGATTTATATGACTTATGCCTTGGGTACCACACATCTTGAATGAGTCGTTAATCAAAGTTTGGATCGTTGTGTCTGAAATAATTAAAAATTTTAAGAAATCTTATCATCGATCGATTTATTATTTATTTATTATTTACATAAGTTTCTCCACAAAAATGGTTCGCTATGTATTGCTGAGTGTACTTGTCCTCAGTTGAGGTCAGTAAACAATTAGTGAAGGACGCAGTTTGACTTCTGCTGACTACCATGTCTATGAAGTGTCTGGTTTCTGTCTGTCCTTGTTTGTATGTCATTACACTTAGTGTACTCTATTCATATGACTCACTTTTATAACACAGGCAGTTAATTAAAACACAAACACTGTTATTTTAATTAATAGAAGGTAACATTAAAACCTAGTCAGTTGAGATAGTAGTATAAGCAATGGTTGTAGACTATAAGAAATTACATCAAGAATGTAATAAGATGATAATAATGATGTGTGTGTTTTAGCAGCTAGAGAGTTTGTATCTCTGGCAGAAAGAGAAGCAGCGCTGCTCAGGGACTTGTTTCAGGGGTACCAGCGCTGGGTCAGGCCTGTTCAGCATGCAAACCACTCTGTGAAGGTCCGCTTTGGCTCGAAGATATCTCAGCTAGTGGATGTGGTAAGACGAACATAAAGATTCATCCTTTTTTAAATCTAATTTGGAAGCCCAACTTTGATGGCTGTGGGTTGATCTCTGTCCATGGTGCTGAAACACAACAGAAGGAGCTGTCCATGGTTTTGAAAGCCAGTGGCTTATGAAGCCAATATACCTCTGTATATTAGGCATACATTAGTGGCATCCGAGTCTATATATAGAAAATATTGCCTTACTGCAGGTCCCCTCCATCTTTTTTTCCCAATTTCCTGGTTTTATTTTGCCTCGCTCTTTCGCTGAAAGGATTTTGTTGTTCAGAAGACTAATATGATGGGATGCTTAATTATTAACAGAGCAGAGATCCTGTGAGCTGGAGCATCTTAAACCATGTGCACCCTCAAAAATCCATTGGTGTCATTAAATTATGCGAACTGAATTGATAGGAATTCAGCATATTTTGATGAAAATGTATTTGCTCAGCAAATGCTGCAGGTATTAATTTCATCTCATGTGCTCAAGCAATGGACAGACACACACACTAACATTCAGCACAGTAGTGATCCAAGCTGATTTGAGCCTGAATGTGAGTATATTATGTGTTCTATGCGTAAAACCTGCTTTATTGTGAGATTTCAATTCTGCATGAAATCTGTCAGCATCAAAATGCATTTTATTAATGCATCGACACAACTAATTTGTAATAATAATCACCCAACCTGCAAATAAAGTGCACCACCGAGGCTTTGTTCCTCTCAATAATAATAATAAAAAAATGATGACGTCAGCTTACTGTTGTTCCATGTACACCTTGCAATGTGATTTACTTGATAAGGGCTCAGACGTGCCTGTTTGATATTATTGATTTAAAACCTGCCTAAAGGCATAGGTGCCCAAGTGCCTCATAATTCACAGTATTAGATAGCGTTAAAAGTGGTTATGCTGGACATTTATCAAAAGATATAGCCAATGATTTTGAGGGTTATGGAAAATAAATAAGGACAGCTATTATTATGCGGGCTGAGTCAGCTCTCTCAGCACTGCTCTTTCTCAAATATCTCATAATCTCAAGAAAAATAAAAAACGAATGACCAGGCTTTTACCAGTGTGGTTCTTTATTTGTTTGTTTGACAGAATTTGTTAGAATCCAACCACTGGAATTAACTATTAATTATTAGTTAAGACATATATTGAATCTCTCTCACACACACATACATTTCAGTTGTTTATGGCATATGGCATAGTCTTCTCTGTTTATGAATTCAGGATGAGAAAAACCAACTCATGACCACTAATGTATGGCTATGGCAGGTATGTAACCACAAACATCACTGTAACAATGTGTTGTCTTGGAAATTAAGAATGGGTTGCATGTGGAAACATCTAAATAAATTGTTTATTATTAATAATAATAAACACATACATTTCAGTTGTTTATGGCATATCTTTCTGTCTTCTCTGTTTATGAATTCAGGATGAGAAAAACCAACTCATGACCACTAATGTATGGCTATGGCAGGTATGTAACCACAAACATCACTGTAACAATGTGTTGTCTTGGAAATTAAGAATGGGTTGCATGTGGAAACATCTAAATAAATTGTTTATTATTAATAATAATAATAATTTATATTTTTTATTTGATAGATTTTTTTCCCAATCTTAAACAGTTTAAAATTGTGCATGGAGAAAAATTATAGAAAATGCATATGATGCAGAAATGCAGCAGGGTTATTATTAAACCTAAACCAAAACCAAAAAAAAACACAAAACACATTTTTTGTTACTTGAAATATAATTTAACCAAAACAAAATCACTTATTTTATTTACTTATTTTCTTACATATTACCAGCTACAAGTCCGCCTGCACCATGGATGTGACCTTCTTCCCGTTCGATCGGCAGAACTGCTCTATGAAGTTTGACTCTTGGACGTATGACGTAAACATGGTTGATCTAGTGCTTGTCAACCAGCAGGTGGACCGAAGCGACTTCTTTGATAACGGCGAGTGGGAGATTCTTAGCGCCACTGGGGTCAAAGGCAGTCGACGAGACGGCCACCTCTCCTACCCCTACCTCACATACTCATTCATCCTGAAACGTCTTCCTCTCTTCTACACACTCTTCCTCATTATTCCCTGCCTGGGCTTGTCCTTCCTTACAGTGCTGGTCTTCTACCTTCCCTCTGATGAAGGGGAAAAAGTCTCTCTCTCCACCTCTGTCCTGGTGTCCCTCACTGTTTTCCTTCTCGTCATCGAGGAGATCATCCCTTCTTCCTCAAAGGTTATCCCACTGATTGGAGAGTACCTGCTTTTTATCATGATCTTTGTCACTCTCTCCATCATCGTGACAGTTTTTGTGATCAACGTACACCACCGCTCTTCAGCTACTTACCATCCTATGTCTCCATGGGTGCGTTCTCCGTTTCTCCAGCGGCTGCCTCATTTGCTCTGCATGAGGGGAAACACAGACCGCTATCATTACCCACAGCTGGAGCCTCACAGCCCTGACCTCAAGCCCAGGAACAAGAAAGGGCCACCTGGCCCTGAAGGAGAAGGTCAAGCTCCGCTGGAAGAGGCCACCAACTCAGTTCGCTACATCTCAAGACACATTAAGAAGGAGCATTTTATTACAGAGGTAAGGGCTTTAAGAAGTCCTAAGATGAAGGAAAGTTCCTAATGAATAACTGCATATATAAATAAAAATGAAACTATTTTTAGATATAAACAAAATTTGAAAGTCATTAAGTTTGAATGAAAATGTGTTTTATTCAGAAATAATGCATTAATTTGTTCAAAAGTGACAGTATTCCACAGTATTTTCACAGTACGGAATACTTTACACAGTATTTACACAGTTGTATGGAACGACTTAAAAGCGTACAAGTCTAGGCCTGAATATAACAGTCGTTCTAAACAGATGCAACAGATCATGATACAAATGTGCCTGTATTATGGTAAAAAGCAAAACATAATCAGACAGGAATAAAAATGTTTGTTAGCACTAATGACTTTTTTAGTGTTGACCTTTATTTGATAATGAAGATGCAGGTCATGATAGTTATGATGATAATGAACATTCTTTGCCTCTTCCAGGCAGTACAGGACTGGAAGTTTGTGGCTCAGGTGTTGGACAGGATATTTCTCTGGGCATTCCTCACGGTCTCTGTGCTCGGCACCATCCTCATCTTTACACCTGCCCTCAAGATGTTCCTGCGCACACCTCCACCTCCCTCTCCATGACAATTGAGTCATTCCTGTCAAATCATCACATCACAAAAGGGAATTCTACTGTACCTCCAACAATATTACAGACAATGCACATTACTGTATAAAAGTAATTTGTTCTTTCACTGCGTTAAATACTCAGATTTATGATTAACATTATAAGATGACCAGCAATGTTAATCAAATGTGATATGTGCAGAGTAGCATCCTTTGTCCTCAGTGATACAACATGCCGTTTAAAACGTCTTGTTTGTAGATAATTTAGTTATTCATTCTTACATTTTAATTTAAAGACAACATAAACACTGTGTAAAAAAAGAAAGAAAGAAAGATTTTTTTGACCTGTGCAGGAAAAAATAAAATCTCCACAAAATCAGAAAACGGTTTTGTCCATCTTCCTGAGGAAACACAGCTCTGTTTGGTTGTCATATGTTCCTGTCCCGATTCTTAACATACTTTCTTTTCTTTGGCACACATTCCACAATTCAAGCATTCAAACTGAGGAGCAAAAAAAAACAATACAATTCAGCCAAAAATCACAGCAACTTAATACTCTATTTGCAAACACATGCAACTATCTTGCTCTTATCTTTCTGGTAAATCAAATATTAAAATTAGGTTAGAGATGATGAGGGTCACATTACCTTCCATAACAGGTAAAGGAGCAGAGCCAGTAACAGCAGTGCAGTCATTATGCTGAATAGAATGCCCCACCACGGGACTCGACTGAGCAAAGCAGGCTTTCTTTCACGAAAAACAGTTAGCTTCACCTATATTAGTCACAGAAACATTATTTCAGTTAGTTTCATCTATACATTGCACTCTTTATCACTATACTACTAATATATCAAATAGAAAATGGTATAAGGGTGTGCTAATTTACACTTAACCTTAGTATCAGATGGCTGCATCCCAATATTCTCCTGAGTCCCATTAAGAGTCAAAAATGCATCCAGTACAATATCCAAGTAGTTCAATGAACTATACTCCTGTAAAGAAAAAACATCTTGTCAATATGCTCACACTGTAAAACCCAGAGAGTAAATGTTGACAGAATATTCATTTTTGGGTTAACTATCCCTTTAATGCAATACAGTGTGAACAAAAAAACACACAAAAAAAAATATATATATAAAAAAAAAAATGAATTCAAATCTCTTATAGTTAACTGGAAATAACACTGCATATTGCTACCATAACTTTCAAATGTTGAGGACTTTTGCTGCATTAATCAACACAGATTGAGCAAGCAGCAAATATATTTTTGCCGTGTAGACCAAATGACTGTTAACTAAAGTCTTTAAATTGGAAATGTCAAAACTTCTAGTAACCCTATCAGTTTGAATTTCGCTTAATATAATCAGTTGGTTTGAACTTTCTTCTAACTTTAATGAACTTTCATTAATATTTTAGTGAAATTAACTCATTAAGTCTTATAGTGCAGAGAAAAGTGCAGCAACTGTACCTCAAGAAAAGTATTGTTCCATAAGCGTGCATGAAGAACAACGGCTGTAGTGCTATCCACTGCCTCGAGGGCACTTTATATCCACACATCTCAAGTCATCAGCACATGTCTGGGTGGCAACATGAAAGGTTGAAAAACATTTGCAAGAATGACAAATTTAAGTACCTTAAAACCTTTGATATACATTTTAAAGACACTAGTGTAACTACTGATAGTAGTGAAAAGAAAATAAAGTACTGGTCAATGAAATTGTATAAAATAATTTGTTCTGTGAAATTACCAGGTTTTATACTATACTTATATTGCCCAAAAAGGGGAAAAAATCAGAATGTCAGAAGTCACACTGTGTCTGAGTCTTAGGGATTTATCATATATCAAATACAGAGAGCTGCAAAGTAGAACCAGTGACAGCTGAAGTTAAATGATCATTATTTAACTTAAATTATATCCCATGAAGGAACTACCTTGATAAATCGGAGTGGGTTGATGGCCTCTGCTGGTGTGCAGTGAATAATATTTTTTCCTTGATCCTTGATCTGCACAAGGTACAGGAGCCGTTTTCCCTCCTTGGTTGCTTTTGGCCTCTGAATGTTCAGCACAACAGAACCGAAGGACTTCAGAGGCCGACCAAGGTTAATGATCTGACACAGAAGAACATTTGCACAAAATCAACAGGCTTTAATTGTACTGGACTCGCTATGTAAATAAAATATACTGCCAAATGTGACCCTGGACCACAAAACCAGTCTTAAGTGTCAATTTTTCGAAATTGAGATTTATACATCATCTGAAATCTGAATAAATAAGCTTTCCATTGATGTATGGTTTGTTAGTTGCATCTCAGCCAAATATTGTCCTATCCTATTTGAAAATCTGGAATCTGAGGGTGCAAAAAAAAAAAAAAAATGTTGAGAAAATTGCCTTTAAAGTTGTCCAAATTAAATCCTTAGCAATGCATATTACTAATCAAAAATGAAGTTTTGATATATTTACAGTAGGAAATTTACAAAATATCTTCATGGAACATGATCTTTACTTAATATCCTAATGATTTTTAGCATAAAAGAAAAATCAATAATTTTGACCCATACAATGTATTTTTGGCTATTGCTACAAATATCCCCGTGCAACTTAAGACTTTTGTTTTTTGGTTTTGTGGTCCAGGGTCACAAATACTGTACATTCACAGACAGAAATGCACTACCTCTCTCTGTGAAAAGCTGCCGATTTATTTTGAACTGAGGTATAAATATACACATGCTACTATCTGCAATATATTATTTACAATCATTCATTTGGTATGTCTAGTTAATGATAATGAATAATAAAGCATAGTAATTCATTACTGTAGCTTTAAGGAGACTGAAACACCAACTCTGAACTCATATTGGACCAAAGAGCCAATATCATCTTCTGATTTCATTGCTTTCTCATCTTTTACTTCTCCTCCAAAGAATAATTGGGAAGGTTTAGCAAGACTACAAAGACAAAATACATCAGAAAAAAACAAGCATTCTCTTATTAAGAGAGCAGCAGTATTTTAAATACTTTATATCAGTGTTTCTCAACTGGTGGGTCGCAAGACCATTCTGGGTGGGTCGCGGAGTGTACAGTCAAAGAAACAACAACAACAAAAAATTCAAAATGTTTTTTCTGATGCAAGACTTTTATTTTGAAAGATGTGCATGAAAGCTGTTGACACTTTTTTTTTTGCAGTTTAAAGGAATAGTTCACCCAAAAATGAAAATTGGCCCATGATTTACTCACCCTCAAGGCAACCTAGGTGTATATGACTTTCTTCTTTCAGATGGATCCATTCAGAGTTATATTAAAAATGGTCCTGGCTCTTCCAAGCTTTATAATGGCAGTGGGGGCGGGTGTTTCCGTTCAACAGTTCAAAAGAAGTCCAATAAAGCGCATCCATAATAAAAAAGTGCCTCACACGGCTCCGGGGGGTGAATAAAGACCTCCTGTAGCCAATCGATGCGTTCTTGTAAGAAACATATCCATATTTAAAACGTTATAACCACTTTTCTGTAGCTTGCGCTAACTATCGTACGCGGAAGCCGTTCCGGGCGGGTAGTGCATGTGCTGGTGAGAATTTGCTAGTCTTGCGAAAACCAACGATTGTTTACATGAGCAAAGGAAGCAAAGTTTCCTTACTTTAGCAAAGGAAAACCAGTTTCCTCTTGGCTTATATCGAAATCCTCTGACATTTTTCTTTTACAAATCCTCGTTTTGTACTTCTAATTCGTGACCGGTGTTGTGTTTTGTTCTCTCCTCTCTGCTTCCGCGTTCGTCACTTCTCACCGGCTATTGCGCCACGCATACGTCCTATTAGCGGAAGCGTAATGAACGCGCATACGACAGTTAGCGGAAGCTAGAGATTACGGTTTATAATGTTTTGAATATGGATATTTTTCTTACAAAAAAGCATCGATTCGCTACAGGAGGTCTTTATTCACCCCCCGGAGCCGTGTGAGGCACTTTTTTATTATGGATGCGCTTTATTGGACTTCTTTTGAACTGTTGAACAGAAACACCAGCCCACTGCTATTATAAAGCTTGGAAGAGCCAGGACAATTTTTAATATACAGTGATGTGAAAAGGTTTTTGCCCCCTTCCTGTTTTTTAAATGTTTTGCATATTTGTCACACTTAAAAGATTCAGATCATCAAACTGAACGATTCGTTCACAAAACACCGCAAAACTCAGCATTTTGTTCGCGTGCCCCCTCTGTCGCCTCACGTACCCAAGTTTGGGAACCACTGTTCTACATTAAATATTTAGCTAACAACAGTCTGTTACCTAGCAACAGTGTATGTTAACGTTAGCTAAGTCAATGTAGGCTAACATTAACAGGTGTAGACAGAAAATATGATTATCCTGACCTGAGCTAATTTACTGAATCAACCAACTCACATCTCCTTTCTTTCTTTCTTTTCATCCATGATGACATTAAAGTCATCTGTTGCTGCTTCTGGCGTTTCTTTGCCGACTGTGCCGCAACCGCGATACCTGCTCATTAGAACTTTGTGCTTTCACACCTGTAGATCGATTGCTTTGTTCCGAAACGGATTAAAATTATTACAATGTTGCTTTTTATTCTTGGTGCGGTTCGCTTTCAAACGGCAAAGTTTCTAAACGGACCAAATTTGTTAATACAAGTCATGCGTGAGTAAACTGTTCTCTCATTGGTCAAAGTTCCACGGGTTATTTTCCGGGATTCCACTTAGCTGTCACGGCTGTCATCCGTCAGGATGCAACGACATCAGCTTTGCGGGCTTATTGTTTTGTTTTTGTTTTTTTGTAGCTGTCGTTATATTAATTTATCATTTTGAGCAGGAGTCCAGGATTGATCGTGGTCAAAGTTTCACGGTTTATTTTCCAGGATTCCACTAGCTGTTACAGCTGTCATCTGTCAGGATGGAACGACAACAGCTTCGCGGGTTTATTGTTGTTGTTTTTTTGTAGATGTCATTATATTAATTTATCACTTTGAGCAGGAGTCCAGGATTCATCGGGAAAACATTTTTAAAATGCACATA